GCCATAGTGACTCACTTCTAAAGAACAGACGTGGGTCTTTCATGGCTCACTCACTGTAGAATCCTACAGTGTGTCCTGAGGAAGCCCAGAGCACACAGAGGTCTAGTTGAGAACCCTCACTGAGGTCCCAACCAGCAGACAACAGTAGCCACCAAATGTGCCAGCGGAGTGCTTTTGATGTTTGTGAGGGTTAAATCTGGAGAGCTACTCATTGAAATGATCACTATTAGGTCAGTAATTATAGGGCTATGAAACACTGTCTTTGGGGAGTGGCCCCTGATCCTAGTCATTACCCTAAGCTGCCTTACCAAAGAGCAGATAGGGAAATCAGGTGATCTCTAAAGGGGTGAGAATGCAGATGCTCCCCTCTTCTCTCCCAATAGCAGTTTCAACAGACAGAGCAGCTCCCTTTCCTGTTCTCTTTGCGTTTATAACCGCTGGTCTCACTTCCCTCTCTGCCGATCAGGGTCTAGGAAACTGTCACAGAGATATTGCAATGACATTAGTCTAACCTAGTTGTAAGCTATGTGAATTTCAAATGCTCTTCCTCTTGTAAGGCAGATGTGAAAAGCACATCACACCCAGACAGAAATAAATCTTGTTATAAGAAAGTTCTTTCACGAAAGTTTTTGTGTGGTTTTGTCATCCCTGGATCCAGGGATCTGTACACATAATAGCTGAATACGTTCCTTATCACCTTTGGAAGATGTAAAGGAATTTTTTCCCTTGGAATTATCCCACTGATTCTCTGTGATGGCAACTATTTACAACCACACACAGAATCTGCTGTGAGTCTTCAGGTTCTTCCCACTTTGGACATTGACTGTTTGTCCTTCAAGCTGAGGGTACAATAGTCCTGTGCTCCCTTCCTACCTTCCTGGAGGCTGCTTCTTCTGACAGACTCCCACTGCCAAGTCTCAACTTTTGCATATGGATTCATCCTCCAGTCTCTTAAGATCTGGATGTTCATCTGAAAACATAGATTGGAAGTTTTGAAATATTCTAGAAGCTGGTGGCTATGGTGGTTTATTTGCCACTTCCTGCTTCCTGTGCCAGAATGAAGACATATCCCTTGAATTGCTCAGAAACATGAGAAGATTCTGGCAGTGTCTAAAGAAATCTGCCTTTTTTTTTTTTTTTACATTTTCCCTCATCAAATATGAACTCAACCATCTTGTCTTTTTTAACAAACCAGCCATAGTGACTCATTTCTAAAGAATAAACTTGGGTCTTTATAAAATAGAGGCCTAGTTGAGAGCCCCCACTGAGGTCCCAACCAGCAAACGGCAGTAGCCATCAAGTGTGCCTGCAGAGAGTCTTTTGAGATGTTCCGCATTCAGCCACAGCACGATAGACCAGAGCCACATCGCCGAATCCATTCAACACTTCAACGAAGAGCAAGAGTGATAGTCACTGCAGTTGGATGCCATGTTGATGATGGTTTATGATGGTGTACAACGTGTAACCTCCACAGCAGTGAATTAATCACCTTGTTTCAACTTCAATTCACCTTGGCCAACAGATCTTCTTGCTAAGTGTTATTCTAATTTCTTCCCTTAAGTTTATGATACAAAATGGGGACTCATGTTTACTCATTTAAAAAAAAAAGAGGAAGACGAAGACCTAAAGGAGATTTATGGAGCAAGAAGACAGCAGATTTCTTTCTTTCTCTCTTTCTTTCTTTCTTTCTTTCTTTCTTTCTTTCTTTCTTTCTTTCTTTCTTTCTTTCTTTCTTTTTAAAGAAGTTACTTGGCACCTGCAAAGAACTAAGATGTAGCCAGAACTCAGGAGCAAACAGTGATGGGTGGAGACTTGGGCTTACTGGGATGAGGTCGCTGTCCCGTGGTTTTTCACCTCTTTCTCACTGCACTGCAATCCACGGTCGTCCATGTCCCTGCCCTAATCATCTTTCTGAAGCAGCAGCCCATTGCCCCCCCCCCGCCCCCCAGTTTAAAAGTCTTCACTGCTCTCCGATGCTCTGCCTTCAGTGTGAACCCCAAGCCCTTCACACAGCACGGAAGCCCTTGCTACTGATCCACCACCGTCCCTAGGGCCTCGGGACTCCCCACACTTCCTCTGATGCTTGCTCTGTGCTTTAATGTGTAGTCACAAGGAGAGATCTGGTCCTCACGTAAGTTCCCACGTGTGATATTCCTTCTTCAGGGAGTGTCCCTCCCCAATCTTTCCATGACCAATACCTACTCCTGCTTCAAGTCCAAACTCTAATGTTGGCCTTTTCATTGCTGGCTGGCCGTGTTCATATGCTACATGTTCTCTAGGCCACAATGATTGCCTACGAGTTCTGCCTGGAGTTGTCCTTGTTTTTCTTCAGACTCAACTGTGAGCTCCTTTGAGGCTAGGGGTTGGGTCTGCCTGAATCTCTAGAGGACATCAGCTCTGTTAGTGGCTCATGGTGACAATTATGTGTGATCTATAATGAGTGATTAATAGTAGTGAGTAACTTGGTGAGCTTTTCAGTAATCAGGAGGAAAACACTGTTATAGTAGTTAATACCTTCTTTCCCTCTGACGACTTCAGAGTGTGCAGTAAAGTGACTTGGATGGGGTCTGACCAGAGAAACGGCTTTGGGTAGATTCTAGACGGCAACAGGAAGTAGGGATCAGCTGAGGGTAAAATCAACTTTCTCGCAGAAAAACAGTGTGAATTCATTTTTTGCACCTATTATTTTTCATTTTTTTGTTCCATATATATATGTTTTTCTGTTCCATATATATATATATATATATATATATATATATATATATATATATATATATATATATTTTAAAGACAGATTTTCTCTGTATAAACAGCCCTGGCTGCCCTGGAACTCCCCTTGTAGACCAGGCTGGCCTCACACTCACAGAGATCCACCTGCCGCTGCCTCCCAAGTGCTGAAATTAAAGGCATGCACCATTCTGTTCCACATTTTATTGTAACTGCATACATTATTTTGAAGTGATTTTAATTATTTTTTTATACCCCATGTAATTGTAAACAATGCAAATCTGTAAATGTGCTTTTGTAAAATTATGTAGCCAGTGAATTACTAGAGATGTTCATGGAGTTTTGTAAAGGCAGATTGTTACAATTTGAGGGATTTTGTAAGCTGGATATTAAACACAGCTTAGCACTGGCTGTGGTGGGATCCTTCCACCAGAGGAAGCAGCAGATGCCACAGGCCATACACTTTACCCCGGTGTTCAGTGGACTGTGAACATTGGTGCCACATCACTGGATACAGTCTTTTTGCTCAGAAGAATTTTTGTGCCAAAGACTCTTCAAACTACAATGTCTTTCATAACCTGATAAGAAATGGCGGGGAATCTCGGGGGACTCTATCAGGCATGGGATTTGATAATGGTAAGAACCAGACAACCTCCTTAGGATATGTCTGAAACTGGAAGCTTTCAAATGTAGGATAAACATCATCCTGGCTTTGTGGCCTGAACTTACTCTGTATATATTGTCAATTTTGCTTTGGCTCTTTCATCTCTGTTGATGGAAAAGGAAAAAATGGTATGATTTCCTGAAACGAAACTCTTGTTACTACTACAATGAAAGCAATATTTCCTTCTTTTGTTATATAAAATCTGCAGAAAATTGCTGCATGATTCAGAAGTAAGCTTTTTATGAAAAACCCTATTTACTCATTTATTTTCTCATTCTGTAAGCATTTCCTGAAAATCTGTGACTTATACAGGAGGCCACAGGCATAAGCATGACAAATTCAGGCCTGCCCCCAAGGAACTCACAAAATTGGGGGATGGCAAACAATGACTTAATTGTGGTAAGTGTTCTGAAGGGTTCAGCAGGGAGAGGAGGAAGTTAATGTAAAGCTGATGGCGCCCAAGCTTCTGGATACAGCTCCGATTTGTCATGAATGTGCAAAGACCTTCAAGCCAAATGAATGTTGTCGTATTTGAGATGCTAAAAGAGAGCTATGGCTTCTAGGGTGGAAAATGAAAGAGAAGTGAGTGCAATCAAGGGCATGGGGTCGGTGAGGACGAGCTCATGGAAGGTCTCTGGTGTGAATTAGCAGTGTGCACTTGCCCCCTCGGTCTGATGGGAGGATAATAAAGGATTTGATGCGGAGGAGTGATGCATTAGAAGGATTCTGAACTGCTGTGTGGTGAACAGATTGGAAAGGGACAAAGGCACATAAACCATAATGAAAGATGGTTCTGTTTTAAACTGAGCAAGAAGGAGGCTGTCTAGCAGAATGTCAGTCGAGTTATTATTATGAGGCCACTTACACTGGATATCCTTTTTAATAACCTGGAAGAAGAGATTAAAAATAATTTGATTACCCTTGCAGGCAGTCATAGGGAATTACTCATGAAAGTGGAAAAAGACATAATTTTAAAAGGTCTGGGGAAATTACGTCATGAAGAAATAAAACCACAATAATCCTGATGATCTGTGTGTGTCCACACAAATCCAGGATGTTTTTTGGGTCTTGTTCTTGTGTGGAAGAATACATTAGCAGTAGCGCTGCATCTCATCCACTTGTGTTTTTATTCTGAAAGCTGTATGCTTTGGTTCTGCAAAGCAGCTGTTCGCAGTTAGCACCTAATGCTTTTAGGTTCCTTTTCTACCGGAATGCTACTAACAGCTCGTTTTAAGAGCTCGCAGGAGAATGACCACTCTTGTTAAGCACCGATAGAAGCTTTAAGTCTTGCTAGGAAAGAATCAAGAAATCCTTTAATGCCTCCACAGCTGGAAGCTCTAGAAAGAAGAAGCCATCGGTAGTCTATGCGCATAGAAAGCAAAGATAATTATTGAATAACCTAATTGGCCTTGAAATCTTTACATAATGTTTGTAGCTTTTTCTCACAGATGAAGTGTGAAAGAGTGATAAAATAAAACAATTCAGTGTTGGAGCTACAGGACTGTGTAAATAGTTAGCACATATTAAGTCCATTTGAGGCAAAACTATCCAAATGAAGTCAAAACTTGGATTGTGACAGAACAAGAGTTAATTCAAGTAATATTCTTGGAGGATATTCTGTCCAGTGTCTCCAGTGAAATATCGTTTACCTTCTGCTCTGTAAGTTAAGTGGTACTGGCTAGAAACCTGCTGTCTCCTGCCTTAGTTCCAATCATCAAATCAAACAGAACAGATGGTTGTCTTAATGCAGCCCATTTTATCCAGAGTCACCCAGAGTAAACAGCATGGCTGCTTCTACACAGAGGGAAATTAATGTGCTGATGACTAGCTATTAGATGTGCAGCTACAGTTTATTAATTTTGATTTTTACGATTATTGCGTTTGTTACTGGGTGGCTTAGTCAGCTGGGGCTGCTGTAACAAAATACTGTAGGGTGGACAGTTTAAACAACAGGCATTTATTTCCCACAGTTCTAACTGTGGACCACTGTCTTCGTGTTGGAGGCTTGCTTGGCTTTTCTTAGTTGTGCATGGCGTCAGGCAGAAGTGGGAATTCTACTTCATCATCTGAGGACATGAACCTTCATGTGAAGGTCTGACCTTCACGATCAAATCTAAGTTTCATTCCTAAAGGCCTCCTAACCACATGCATCACACACACATACATTGGGAGTAAGTGCTTCCATCTATGAATTTGTAGGTGTTGGAGAATGGGGATGAGGTCGCCAACATAAACATGAGCTCCCATAATGCCGGCAGAGTAGACTAATTGCTAATATGGGGATTTATCAAGGCAACTCCATGTAGTTAAAAAGGAAGTTTATTTTGGGGTAATTTATAGCCAGTAAAGGGGTTGGTTACAGGATCTGGGAGAGGTGAGGTGCAGTTCAGCAGGGTTCTCTGGAGAACTCTGATTCAGTCTGTCTTCTAGCATCCAGGATCATGAGGAACCCAGAGCGCCTGGATGTCTGGATCTCGGGTCTTAAGGCTCCTGTCTCGGCCCTGCTCCAGGGGCAGGTCATAGGTAGACATGGCAGTTATCAGAAGCCTCATTACGGGTCAAAGCTGGAACAGCTACCCACTACAAATTGCCCTGATGGACAGAGTTCATCTCAGTTTCATCTAAATTAAAAATGCTGTTGCTCTTGCCACGTTTTTTACTCCCCAAGCAGGGAGCTGCGAAACACTGGGGATTTTCAAATGGAGTTCTATATACCAAGATAGCGATGTAAGTAGTTTGTAATGCTGATGGTGTGTGTGTGTGTGTGTGTGTGTGTGTGTGTGTGTGTGTGTGTGACGTAGTGTGATCAGATGCTTGATTAGGAACATGTCTATTACTGTGCAGATTCACAAATGGAGATGGGTGGTAGGTTTTTCAAGTGACATAGTGAATTAACATTTATTTATTTACTTATTTTTAATTTGTAAATGAGATCTTGTAGCTTAAACTGGCCTCAAAGCCATGATCTTCCTGACCCCACCTCCCCAGTGATGGAGCTATAGACATATGTCACCATCCCTGGCTATGAATTACTCTCTTTTAAAGGATGGTTTTATTCAGGCTCGGTGGGTGAGAGGTCATGAAATGACTGATGAGTCCTTCTCCTACCAGCTGTCTCAGCCCTTCCTGGTGCTTAATAATAGTGTGTGGCTTCAAGAGAAGTAGTGTGACTTCAGTACTACAGGGGGGTGTTCTCAGATATTGCTCACTTTGAATTCTTTACAATCCCTGGGTAATGTGCCTGGACCATTGAAGGGGAACTGAAGATAGAAAGCGGGACAGAGAGGCCAGAAGATGGGGTGAGAGAATTCCTAGTAGTAGTAGTAGTAGCAGCAGCAGCAGCAGCAGCAGCAGGCAACTGTGGAAAAGGAATGTTAAAGGAGAATGGGAGAATGAAGCCACATTCAACCACATATTGCCAAGATCTGAGTGGTTGCAGATAGATATATGGGTATAGCTGTGAAAATAATACGAGAGACAGTAAACGGAAATGCACACAGGAGCCAAGCAAGCCACATAAATGTAACCAGAGACCAAGAAGGTCCCATAAAAGTGTGAAGCATCTATAACATCTACAAGTAAGAGACCGGTGTCTTTATGGCCTCCAAGCACAAGACCCATTGAGTTATGATACCTTTTAAGATACAGTTGGAGCTTAAGAAACAATGATCATGTAAAACACACTATGGTTGATTTGTGCCTCATAAGGTACTGTGTGAAAGTTTTAACTTTGAGCAATCACATGCAGGGAGAGAATTTTCCACAATGATGGTAAACGCCACAAAACTAGGAATTGTTGCTTCTAATGGGGACAAGCAAGATACACGACGCATACCTCAGAATGATACCGTAAAAGCACACACAAGTAAGGGTCCCCACCACTAACTCCCCAAGTGTGAAGGGATTAAAAAATAAACAGCAAAAGTTATTTTATGTTGATTTTTATTCTATGTGTGTTGAGGTATGTGTTTGCTTAAGGATAGAATTAGTCGTCAGCTCCTCTCCTTTTCACATAGAGTTTCTTTGTCGTTTCCGGCCTGAATCTTTTCATTTTGCGCTCATTGGATTTCTACTCCCCTCTTCTCCCACTGCCTTTACTATTTCTAACATATGTTTTGATTGTTTTCTTGGGAAGGGACTTGGACAAAGCAAGTTGGTAACGAACGGTGGGTGGGTATTGAGGATTAGAAGGAAGGACCAGCATCGACTCTCTTGTCCCAGGTGACATGGAGAGAAAGTCTGTCTCTAGGTATGTTGACACCATTCCTTAGAGATCAGAGAATTAACTGTCATAGGGTCAAAATGCAAAAAAAACAAAACAAAACAAAACAAAAACCCAAGTGACAAAAATAGATTCACGCTTTGGGGATGCACCAAGAATTGGTGATGGGAGTCTCAGGATGGCGGATGGCACATGTCTGTCAGTTGGGTAGGGGTGCATGGTGGTTAAAATGCCAGGCTGGGAAGGGGGCAGGGCAGACAGTTCCTCTTACTGTTGTTAACATGGACTTTCCACATTACTCCTTTCACGTGAACACGCTTAAAATTCTACATAGAACCCCATTACTCGTAACGCTCTCTGGGATTGAGTTAGAGGGTCCCGTGTTGTGATTAATGAGGTTTGTGCAATCACATTTTGGTGTGACTCATGTACTGTATTGCTTATGATGAAATATCGAAGCTTATGAAGATTTATTTTCTATGTAAATTAGAGTAGATTGATTCCCCCATTCATACCTTGTTAGTCTTTCTTATATTTGAGGTGCGCTCTTGATTGAAAATGAAAGGTACAGTGTTGCAAGGGCTTCTTGGGGAGTGGCTTATAACGTGAGTCTTATTTTTCTTATACTGAAATCCTTTGAGGACTCCCATCACTCCTGATGTGCTGATAGGTACTATGAAAAGGTGATAGTAGATTATAATGCCATAGTTATATATACATAACTTATATATATGGTATATATACAATACCAAAGTTGATAGTGTATTTATCAAGCTGTGGTGTGCCCACTGAACTGTGTTGCAAACAAGGTTGTCCATCATGTCACTTCTGGAGGGGAACATGCTGAGATCGGCAGGTGAATTCCAAGCCCGTGCTTGTTCCTCATCCCCCATGTCGGTACCTCCCCCTTCCAGGTGTGGCAGACTCTCCAGACCTTTTGCAGATTCACTTCCCAGCACCGCCCCCCCCCCCAGGTGTGGCAGACTCTCCAGACTTCTTGCAGATTCACTTCCCAGCAACCCCCCTTCCAGGTGTGGCAGACTCTCCAGACTTCTTGCAGATTCATTTCGCTTGTTTTTTTTTGGCTGTTTTTTTTGTCAGGAAAGGCTTACATGAGATGCTGACACTGTAACTCCAGACAGCGCAGTGTATTCTTGAGTGGTTTCCTAAGGAGGCAGGAGGAATGTGGCAGTCATACAGGAATGGCATCCTTGACGTTGTATGACACAGTGCTTTCAACTATCGCCTCCATAGGCATAAGTAGGGATGGAGTCTTTCTCCTGTAAAAGTCTTTTATTCAAATCGTCTCCTAAAATCATGCTATTGGTATGGAGAATTGGCTCAGTCAATAAAGGGTCCCACTGCCAAACCTGATGACTGAAGTTTGATCTCCCTGACATGGTAGGAGAGAGTCGGCTCTCACATATTATCCTCCGGGCTCCACACATGGGCACCCACATGTATAAACACACACAATAAATAAATAGAAAAATTTTAATAAATAATCTTAATTATATGTGGTGACTTCGCTATAGAAATAAACCGTAAGCTTCGTAATTTAAAAGTATCTATTTATTTAAATACAATAACGTATACCCATCCTGTCTCTGTTCCCATCCTAATTATCTTATGTTGTCAATAAAAACTGTTTGGTGAAAGAAAAATCAGCAGCTTTACTCAAGTTCATATAAATATCTAAAAATGACTATAGTTTTATTTGTCTGATTTTTGGATATTATTTACTTTAAAAAGATAACGTCCTATTATGTAATTTCTCTACAAAACTCTGGACCTTGCTATAGGCCTATACACCTAGATGGAACTCATGCTTTTAAGGGGCTTCACTAGGCAACATTGGAGTTAAATTTTAGAATAGCGGGCACCAAAGGCCACAGGGACAAACTGTAAAACTCGAAGGGAGGCCGTGACTCAGGAATTTAGAGCACACTTCAGCCAGGACAGGATCAGTGAGGAATATACACTAACGGTCCTGGCTTGTGGTTATTAGTCAGTGAGTGTGGGCATGGTGAGCGGAGGGAGTCTCAGATTGGTCCAAGGAAGCAGACATTCCCATAGGTTATTATTGATCTAGCTTACTCCTTCAAAGGGCTGCATTCTTCGCTTGAGTGTGCAGAGATTTCTTCAACCTCTGTCAGAAGTAGCTTTTCTACTACAGAAGTAACTTATCCAATGCTGTAGCAAACATACATGTACTCCTAAGCTTTACATCTTCTGTGTCCTAGCATCCCAGAAGCAAATCTGTGAGGTTAGAGTCCATGTATGTAGATATAATTTCATTTATTTGTATTACCATTTTATTTTCCAGAGTAGCTGCAGGGACTGTTATCCCTTGGAGATTTTCTCAATTACAGGATATGCTTTTAAATTATATGGGTCCCAATCTCATCTTTTATGTTGCACTCATTCTTAGAGTTTGTGGGTCAAAAGATTCAAGTGGAAGATTTTACTGGGAAAGATCCTAAAGACTCCCCCACCCCCACCCCCGCCATTTACGAATCTAGTAAGTCAACAGAAGGATGGCTGGTCGTTGGAACTTTGCAAAGGTTATTTTATTAACTTCAGTCAAACAGGGTCAAGAGATAATAGAACTTAGATGAAGTGAGCAAGAAATTGTACCAAACTACTTCATCCAGATGGTGGGTCATAAAATGAGGAGGCTCGTTCAGTGGAACAGTTGGACTTAGGGAAGGACTGAACTGGAGGAGTCTAAGGCCTGGTTCCGGAAAGAGAAATCAAGAACAAGATACGGCCTGAGGAGATGGCTGAACAGAAAAATGCACTTGCTTCCAAGGCTGTTGAATGACCTGAGTTGAAATACCCCAGACCCACATGGTGAGAGAACTGATTCATACAAGTTGTCTTCTGACCTCATGCACACGGTGGCAAGGGCCCCATTCCCATAAACAAATAAATGCAATTATTTTTCAAGGGAAGCATAGAATACTAGAGGTTGAGGAGGGCTGTGGGCAGAGGTTGGCATCAGAAACATGTCTGGAAAGCAACAAGGAGACAATCCCAGACTGCACAGGAAGGAGTCACGGGTATCCGGGAGGAATCCAGGCTAGTTGGACCACATAGGGCTGCTTTTGAAGTTTGACCGGAATGCCGACACATATTTGACCTTCAGCAAACTATTTGGTCTTCCTGGGCCTCAAGGTCGGTGCTGTTTTCACGTCACGGACATATCTGAGTGTACGGTGCACAGGACACACACAGTGTTGGTTGTCGAACAAATGAGTTCTAGGGTTTCCAGGGCTGCAGCAACTGTCCCGTGACCAAGCACACCTCAGCAGGCCAAGTGTGGAAAAAGCTGACGGCTGTAAATCCACTCTTTGCTTTCCAAACTTGCCCTCTCTTCCCGAATAGCACTATAAACGCCCCAGCGGAAGAGTAATGTCATATCCTCCTTTTCTAGAACCTTCTCTGTGACCTTAGAAAAACTGTAGACAACTTTGGTATCGCCACTGGCTTGACAGCATGTAGCACCAGGAGACAGAATGCCCTAGTGGCCTTCATAAGTGGCCTTATTTTCTGGACTGTCCCTTTCTGGGGTGACCACACGCACCTCCTCGTTCTCTAGGTTTTAGCACTGGTCTATTTCTTGACTATTAATGTGTTTTCATAAAATCTGGAATACTTGTTATTCCAGATGTAGAGCAGAAAGGAATTGAGGCCAGCATTAAACTCGGTGCTTAACACCAGAGTATGGACCCCAAATTCCAGAATAATGGTCTTGCTTGGCCTTAACAGTCTTGTTGGTAGTAAATGGTTGAAAGCTTCACTCAGCGGCTATCAGTGTTAGGTCTCAAACCCCAGACAAATGGCTGCGGTGACAACTTAACATACCAAAGCAGATGCTGTCTGCCATCTCAGCACGGCCAGTGCCTAGCATGCCCCACCCCTGCACGGAACTCACCAGTGCAGGGACTGGGCTGGGCGGCCCTTCCTCCAGCTCCTCTGATTCCTGTATAACCCAGCCATTTTGACTACATGGGTTTCTTTGCCTCTTGGTCTCCTGGTCTGCTTTCCTGGAGTCTGGCTTCTGCCCCCACCCGCCTTCTCCCCATCCCCTCACATGGCATGGTTCAGTTTACCGGGAGCGTTCAGTCTGGACTCTTCTAGACGCCTCTGTCTCTGGCTGTGCCCTCCCTAATTTCTATTATAAAATCCTCAACCCCTTAGGAGCAGTCATGTCCTCCTTTTATTTCTTTTTTTCATTCAATTAGGAGCCATTCAGAGCTTGGCAGCAACAGTGTTTGTAAGTGGGAGTTTATTGCCTGAAGGTATATTATGCATCAACTGTTTCTTTAACTGGGTTGACACTACTGTATTCTTGAAGAATGAAAAGACACTTTTCAGGGTCAGTACTTTAACCATTTCTTCAACTTGTTATGGTAATAGCAAACACACATTTACAAAAACAGTGTCTTAACAGACAATAAAAGAACTCTGTAGGATGCATACCTGCTAATTATATCTGGGTTTTTATTTTTTGACTCTTATTTACCCCTAAATGTGAATCCAGCCTAACCCAGGTGCAGCCGGTCAGCGTTCTCCATTACAAGTCATGGCATACAGCTCAACAGAGAACTGAACTAGTCAAGTTCACCTCCAAGAGTTCTGATGGAACCCAAGGGATGACTTTGTCCTGTTACGGTCTCTAGACTGGGAGAAAACAAGCCTGTACGTGCTGCCAGGCTTCTTGACAATATATTGAAAGACTCACTGGAGCCCAGTTGTCCCTAAAGCCACACGGCCTCTGACGATAGAGTCGCATGAGTGATTACATTTCCTGTTTTGCTTAACTTAGTTCCATTTGTTAATTATAAGAAAAAAAAACAACTCTCTAATTCAGCCGGGCTCCTGGAGATTTGAAATGTAGTGTTGAACCTGCTGCCACTGAAACCATCCTTTCCGAGCTATGAAGACTCTAAATAGCAGATCTGATGGCCGCTTGTGGTTCCTGTTCCTAATGGAGATGAGAAGAATTCTAAGCTAAAAATATCACCATAATCCAACAGTGGTACAGCGTCCAGCAAAAAGGCCAAGATATGCAGTGATTTTACGATTGCTTCGGACCCTTCCAGGTAAATGGCATAGGTTCACCAGGGAGCAGGACTTTAATCAAATCATCTCTGGAATCCCTTAGTTCTGTACAGACTCTGTGGGAAATTAGGCATCATCAGGGGTTTACTGCAATGCTATTTCATCGGAAAACTGCGTCCTTCTGGCTCAAGTTGAGAATACAGCCATTGCCATCATCTAAAATGTAGACATAAACCACTGGGACCAAGGCTGAAGTTTTTATAATGCATAGTATTAAAATGACATATACAATATCGATTTCACTACTAAGTGGATGTTTTGTGTTTTTAAACATCTTGTAATGTGAATTATAGATAATATCAAGTATTTGCTACGCCACAAATAGCATTTGTTTCTTTCAATTTGACTTTAATTCTTGTTGAAAAATGTATGTTTTGGTGACTTTAAAACCATACATTTTTCTCAGTAGTGCTCATTAGTTTTAAGAAGCCATTAGTTTTAAGAAGCCGTAGCCAGGGCTGGCTTCTATGCACAGATGTGTAATGTTAAACAGCCCTGGCCAGTGTTAGGGATGACTGATTAGTAGTCAGACACCTCCTCTGGGAAGCTGCCGATTAACCACACTTCTCACTTTCCTCTGCACATTCCAAAGGGAGTACACGAATTCACTATTAGCTCCAAAGCAGTGGTTTAACATTCCATTTCTTCTAATCCACAATTTACTCAAGAACGTGAGTACAAGCGCTGTGAAAGCTGATCTCACTTCATCAGGAATTCACACCGAGAAGCACTGCCTGGACATGGTGAGAACAGGGAGTTCCCAGGCCTGGCAACTCCAGGGCCCTGCAGTTCAGGGCACCTGCAGCATCCAAGGGGCTCAGTGTAGGTTTGAGAGTTTTATATATATATACTAGTTCGTCTCAGTGTTTCTGTTCAAAAAGTGTTTCAGTCGATGTAACCCGGGGGAGCTTTAAAGCAATGCTGTGTGTGAGGAAGCATGCTTTGTGGTCATTCATTGTTCAGGAAGCCTCCTTGAAGTACTTTTAAGGTACAGGTCTGCCTGGGCTCTACAACTCTGCAGCAGGGCAGTGTCCCTGGATGGAGAGTTGGCAGTGAGCTCCCCTGGGACCTGCATTCTTTATATTGAGTCTTGACTGCACTCCACATTATTCCTCCTCCATTTTTTCCCCTAGACTTGGTTGCTCACCTGCCTTGATTCCTGTGCAGAAAATCTTAGTTACATTTTCATGGACACCCCACAAGGATGCATCAAAAACACGATGCTGAGACTTTCTCACACCTGTGCACAGATTTGCCATTTATTTTCAGATGGATTGGAGAGTGTGCGTTCTGTAGATGGCGGCCATTGTCGGCCGGCGTGCTTTGTATTAGGTTGTCTGTGTGAATTGTTATTTCCACTAATACAGGTACGTAGTAAATGTCCTCTCACTTAAGGAATTTTCATCCTTAACATAGAAGGCAGGAAACCATCAGCTAAGAAGAGGCAGAATGTTCTGCCGAGGCAAAATACTTCAGTTCTGGACACATTTTTACCGTCAGCTTTCCTTCAATGACATAAGGTGTTTTGTTATGAAGATGTTACAGTGTATGTGTCTTAGCAACAGATTGAGTATCTCCAAGCCAATTCAAAGTCTTCTTTAATGGCTTTTGATGTAATTTCATCTTTTTTGTTTAAAATTAATTTTTATTTCTTTTGTGTATGTGTGTGGGTGAATAGTTGGTTTTCTCTTTCCATTATGCTCCTGGGGATCAAACTTGGGTTTTCAGGCTTGACAGCAAGCACCTCACTTTAAGCTGTCTTGCCAGCCTTGTGATTTGATCTTTAATTGGCTGTCTCTCTGGCCCCATAATTCTATATTTTATTTATATTCCTAACTAGAATGGGAGCCACTTAGGGGAGCTGTCTTTATTTGTCTTATTTTTGCATACTTTCTCAGTCCCCAGAACAGTGTTTGCCTAAACTACTGTACATTCTTCTAGATGCAGACTAAAGTAAATGACAGGACCTTAAATACCAAGGGGGCTGGCAAAAATGGAGTGGACTCAGTGGCAGGTAAATGGGAGATGCATGGCAGCACATGCTGTGCCAGCTGGTGGTGCATTCTCTCAGTTCAGTGACTATGAGGGGGAATGAATCCTATTCTGTTCAAACAAATGCCCAAATCCCAATAAAGGCAATCTCTGTGTAGGTCCTTATTGCCATTACTGGGTTATACAAAAGCAGAACTGCC